CTGCTGAGCCATCTCTCCAGCCCCTGGATGTGGCATTCTTACATGGTTCAAGAACTATCTGTCGGGCTGGAGAGATGGCTCAGAGGTTAAGAGCACTGACTGCTCTACCAAAGGTCCTGAGTTCAATTCCCAGCAACCACATGGTGGCTCACAACCATCCACAATCAGATCTGGTGCCCTCTTCTGTATACATAATAAATAAATAAATCTTTATTTAAAAAAATAAGAACTATCTGTCCCCTTCCTACAACTGAGACACTGTTTGCTGCTCACGTCTGAGAGTCAAAAGCAGAATTTGATAATAAAATGGTAACAGACAACTTCTGGGTGGCCCTCTCTGATGACCATGCCCGCAGACCAGGCTTACTCTTCCTTGGAGGGGAGGAAGGGACAGACATGGAGCCCTTGTCCATCTGAATCTGGGCTTGAGTGTCCTGCCGCCCCTAGCACCTGCAGGTTATCCCCCAACCCCCAGACTGACACAGTAATCGTGAGCTCAGGCTGGTGTCTGCCCTGGGCTGGCCCATGAGGAGCCACTGGAATGATCAATAAAGCCAGGCAGCTGGTCCCCGCTGGCTGTTGTGAATCAGCTGCCCTGCCTTGCCCGGATCCATCTTCTTGAAGCAGGAAGCACTTGAGCTGTGCCCAGTCAGGCTGACTCGCGTCTGGCTAATGGCTTTTCTGTGTCACACATCGACCTTGGCACCCTACATTTTTTTTCTACGTGAGTGGGTCAGAGCTCCTAGAGACAGTGTGCTGGTAGATGCAGCTCTTCTCATAGCTTTCCAGTGAGAGACCTTGGCAGGACTTTGAATGGTGGTGACATCAGACCCAGCACTTCTTTTAAAACTTGAGGTAAAACCCAGGACATGAAATTAACCGTTTAAACATTTTTATAAATGTGTATTGATTTTATATAACACGGCATCTTCATGCATGTGTGTAATGCATTTTGATCGTAATTATCTCCCATGATCCTCTCTTCCTCCCCCCTCCCCAGTTCCCCTTCTACCTTCATGTCCACGTGCCACCCTCCAACCCCAAGCTTTTGGTAGTCCAAGTTTCATTTGGGCTGCTTACAGGAGCGTAAGTTAGGGGTTATTTACATTGTAGAAAACATCTCTTCCTTCCCCTAGCAACCACTAACGAGCTGTAGATCCTTGGAGTGGGGGATTGTGAGCTGACCTCCACCTCCAGTGCTACAGATCAGGTCAGGGCCTTGGGTGCACTAGGCACGTGGCCAAGTTCTACTTCTACCTCCCAAATAATTCCTTTAGAGTGAACAGTCCAGCAGCATCTAGTGTTTTCCTAAGGTGTATCTATCACATCTACCCAGAACGTTTCATTACTTTGGACCAATTGTACAGGGTGTATGTGTGTGTGTGTGTGGTGGTGGTGTGTGTGTGTGTGTGTGTGTGTGTGTGTGTGTGTGTGTGTGTGTGTGTGTGTTGTATGTGGTGTGTGTGTGTGTGTGTGTGACGTGTGTGTGTGTGTGTGGTGTATGTGGTGTGTGTGTGTGTGTGTGTGTGTGGTGTATGTGGTGTGTATGTGTGTGTGTGGTAAGTATGTGGTGTGTGTGTATGGTGTGTGTGTAGTGTGTATGTGGTATGGTGTGTGTATGTGGTGTGTATGTGGTGTGATGTGTATGTGGTGTGGTGTGTATGTGTAGTGTGGTGTGTGTGTGTGTGTGTGTGGTGTGGTGTGCGTATGGTGTATGTGTTATGTGTGGTGAAGGCAGAGTGAGAGGTCAACATCAAGTATCTCCCTCAATCTCTCTAGATTATTTATTTTTAAATTCATTATTATTGTTGTTGTTGTGTGTGTGCATGTGCCATGGCATGCATGTGGAGGTGAAAGGACAACTTTATGGAGTCGCTTTTCCTTCCCCACTTACACTGGCTCCAGGGTTGGAACCCGGGAAGCCCGGCCTGTGTGGCAAGCACCTTCACCTGCTGGCCAGCAGGCACCAGGGGTCCCCCGTCTCTACCTCCCCACTTCGGGGAGTCCAGGTGCGTGCCACCATGCTGAGCCTTTTCAGAGGTGCTGGGGGTCTGCGCCTGGGACTTGATGCCTGTGCGCAAGCGCTGTGTGACAGAACGTCCCAGACCCTGTGCTGCTTCCTTAGGCGTGCCCGACAGAGCGGCCACACTGGGGAGGCAACCACAGCCACTCACTGAGCCTGGAGATCAGAACCAAAATCGGAACACGAGCAAAGCGTTCTTTTTCGGAAGTTCTGGTGTGGGCACATCTCCCTGGGCCCCATCTCTGGCTTATTGAGGCCACCCACTCCTCACACAATCTTTCCATGTCTCTGTTTGTCTCTTCCCTAATTTCTCTTTTGTATAAGGACACCAGTCACACTGGATGAAAGCCTATCCTAATGGCATCTTTTAAAATATGATCCCACCAAGAGATTTCAAGTTTTGAACTCCAGAAGGGGGAAACAAACGCTTCAACCCATAATATACATTAAGCGACTTCACCATTGACATTTCTTTCCTTTCTGTGGCTGCATAATATTTCACTGTCTGCGCTCATCGAGTTTTTAAACACCAAGTACAAACAGTTGCCGTTGACACCTGCACCTCCATCAGCTCGTGTAAGGTGGACCATTGATCTCGCAGGTATAGCTTCCTCACCCTTGCAGGACGTCCTTGTTAGTTTTGGGGAACCAAAAGTAAAAGCCATAGTGGACCGAGGAGAAGCCAGGTCAAGCTTCTGATTCTCTGATTCATTTTTAAAAATGGATCTCGCTCCCAGCTTCCTCTCTGCTCTCCCTGTTCTTATCTTACGCCTTCCCTCCCCACAAGTTCACAAACACACATTAAAAGCATTTTAAACACAGACTCGTTCTGGACAGTACTGTGGCCAGATAGGAAGCATAACCCTTGGAGAAGATCCAGCCAACAGCCTGATTCGTTGTCATGGTTACTGGGCCTGGTCCCTTGAGCTGGCTGCAGAACTCTCTGTCTCAGCATGAAGAAGGGACCTTGCAACAAGAGATCTCTCAGCTCTGGAACCAACCATGATGCTGACTTGAACATTTCAGTTGCCTCTAAAGTTAGCATAGATTCTTTTTTCTTTTGCACACAGACAGGGTCTCTGCATGTCTGCTAGCCAGGGCCCTTTTAGGAATTTTGGGCCTCATTAGCTTGCCCAAAATTCAGGCCTTGGAGGTGGTGACTTTGTGTGCTGGGTCATACTGAATGTGTAAAGACGATCACAGCAGAGTCCTGACCCAAGCAGAAATGTCCCTCATACAAAAGTTATACCCCTCTCCTCCTACCCCATCCCCCCTCGCACACAGAGTATGGCATCCAATTCATCTTGCCACATTGGAAGTCTACCAGGGAAAAATACCTGCTGGCTTTGGGTTGGGTTTTGTTTGTTTGGTTTGGTTTGGTTTGAGTTGTTACTGTTGCTTCTAATTCTTCTCCTTCTTCTCCTTCTTCTCCTTCTTCTTCTTCTTCTTCTTCTTCTTCTTCTTCTTCTTCTTCTTCTTCTTCATTTTTTTAATGTACTAATTTTTTGGGGTTCTGTGTGGGGTGCATGTGCCAAAGCACATGTGTGGAGGCCAGAGAACAGCTTGCACGAGTCTGTTCTCCCCGTTTGCCGTGTGGGTTTCAGGTCGTCGGGCTTTGTGACAAGTGCTTTATCTGCTGGACTGAGCCGCCCCCTCACAGGTTCAGACCTGGAGTTTTTTTTTTTTTTTCTTCTTTTTTTGTTTGTTTGTTTTTCGAGACAGGGTTTCTCTGTGTAGCTTTGCACCGTTCCTGGATCTCGCTCTGTAGACCAGGCTGGCCTCGAACTCACAAAGATCCACCTGCCTCTGCCTCCCGAGTGCTGGGATTAAAGGCGCACGCCACCACCGCCCGGCCAGACCTGGAGTTTTGAGAGAGGCAGGAGAGAGAGTTGGACAACTTGGGGGTGAAGGTAGGAAAGAAAACGATTCAGTCCTGGATTGCTCCACGATACGATCATAGGGTTGACATGTGGCTTCTGGACTCTGGAAGGCCCCACACTGTTAGCACATTTGGGTGAAAATGATACAGACATACCAAAGATGTTCCTCAGTATGGCACAGGCTTCTGGAACTCAGGTTCTTAGTTGTGGGGTGTGGATATTTGGAGTGTTTTAAGCATCTAGGGGACTCAGCATTAGTGGCTCATGTGAGTGAATGGCTGAGGCAGGATTGACAAGAGTTTCAGACCAGTGTGGGCTTGAGAGAGAGAGAGAGAGAGAGAGAGAGAGAGAGAGAGAGAGAGAGAGAGAGAGGGAGAGAGAGAGAGCCCTGGGTTCAGTCCCCCGCATTGAATACAACAGGCTTGGTGGTACTCGTCTGTAATCTTAGGACCTGGGAGTTCACAGAGGCAGGAGCAGAACTTCAATGTCACCCCTGGCTACATGGTGAGTTCGAGGCCAGCTTGAGCTTCATAAGATCTGTCTCAAAAATAGCAAGACTGAGTTGGAGTGGGTGTGACAAAACCAGCCTTTCTCAGGATCCTGTCTAGCCACCTGTGAGAACTGTTCTTCTAGGCAGGAGAAGATGCAGGTGACAGTTAATCCCTGTGCCCAGAAATGCTGCCAATTAGCTAGAAAGCCAGGACAGAAATAACACACCCTAGGCTGCCCTTGGCCAAGCCAAATAGAACACCTACTCCCTTTAACCCTGTATGACCAGAATGGAAAGCAGGGCAGACTCTAGTTCCCAGCTTCTGCACTCTCAGCATGGGCCTTCAAGACTGCCAGAGCCCCAGGGAGCGCTTGGTATGGCTGCTTATATTATTCACAGGAACACCCGCTTCTGCATTCTGCTCACAGCCAATTCTCTGCTAAACTCCAAGGACTGTCACCTTAGACCCAAATGACTGCTGGCTTTTCTCAGCAAAAGGTGCAGATGTGACTAGTTTCTGTGCGTCCTGTTGTTGAAGGACAGTCTGGGGATTCATCAGAGGCAACCTGGGGCTGACTTTGTCTCTGTTTCTCTGTTTGCTTTGCAGTACAAAATTGGACAGCTGTATATGATCAGCAAACACAGTCATGAGCAGAGTGACCGGGGAGAGGGGGTGGAGGTTGTGCAGAATGAGCCTTTTGAGGACCCTCACCATGGCAATGGGCAGTTCACTGAGAAGCGAGTATATCTCAACAGGTAAGTCCCTCCCTCCTGCCACCATGAGGTAAGGTCACTGGAAAGCCATTATGCCACCCTGACAGCTGCCAATATTATTGCTTCAAAACCAGAATCATCAGGAGAATGTGAGGCTTTTCTTGATGCTACCTTTGATGACGTCAGAGGAAATCTGATCCATCCCCAGGACAGTGTTAACTAGGGAGAAGAAATGGCTGTGGTTTGATATAGTAGAGACCTGGACCCGGCAGCCCCTGTGGCTATGGGTCTTGATTAGTAGGTTTTCCACATACTGTCACATGACTACCCAGGAGTCCCCAGAAAAAACCTAACAAAGTGGCCAGAACGATTCATGGTGGCTAAGGTGGCTTCCATTTCCCCAAGGGACTCCACCTTTCCTGTGGTCATTATTTTCCTTTTGGACAAGTTATAAACCACCACTGACCCAGGCTATGTTTTGTGCTTTGCAAAATGTATTTTTAAATATCTTCTGTTTCCTTACTGCCAATGGCATAATTGGTAACTGGGACTTGTCCAGTCTCTCCCCATTCTATATCCCCATCTAGCCGTTACCTTTCTGTTCAGTGCTTTTTCTGGGTCAGAATATTTGTAGTGAAGGTTGCAATGCAAGTATGAAGGCCCTGAGTTCGGATCTCTGGCTCCAGCATGAGATTCCTGTATTCCCGGTGCTGGGGAGGCAAAGTCAGGATTATTCCAGGATCTTACTGGCCAGCCAGTCTAGCCAGATCAGTGTGCTCCAGGTTCAGTGAGAGACTCTGTGTTCAAAAAATAGGTGGAGAGTAGTTGAGAAAGTTGTCTCATGTTGACTTCTTGCCTTCATGTACACACACAAACACAAAAAACACACAAAGAATATTTGTAGTCATTTATGAAATATATTTTATTGAAATTAACTGCTCAACAAATAAGCCTTGTATTAGCTTTTCCACAGTATATTTACACACACATACACACACACACACACACACACACACACACACACACACACACACACACGAGTCCACCCTGCCGTGTCCTCTGGCTCATTTGTGACTGTGGAGAAACATTTCTGACACACTAGCTGGACAGCTCCCCCAGTGACTCATTGGCCTCTCTGTGAATGTCCCCTATCCTCGGTGCCTTGAATGTGCTCATCTTCTTCTGAGGGAGGGCCACATTTAAAGACGTCACTCTCCCAAAGGCTGAACTAGACTATTCTGTCACAAGAGACTTCGACTCTCGGCAGCAGAGTGCATGGAAGTCTTCCGATCTAGTACCTTGACAGTGAAGGCCCTAGGCTTTCAACAGCCTGGGGATACACTACCAGGGAATTCTTGAGTCAGGCTAATGTGCAAATGAGATGGATCCCAATCATCGGGAAGCTGTGGGTTTCCAAGATTTAGAAGCAGTTCAAGCCCCAGCCAAGTGTTTATCTGCTGAAGTCACTGGGCCCTGGGTATGGCTAGAGACAGATTTCTAGATATTCTGCTCCAGTCTTCTCAGTGTGGAGGGTGTCAAACACACAGAAGCAGGTACCCCTAAGGAATCACGTCCGAAGAGCAAGGAGAAGTGAAGAACATTCGGGAAAATAGAAACTATGGAAAATTCCATTTTTCAGCTACAGTTGCATTTTTGCTTAAGTTATTGCCTGGGGACTGTTCCCTATGCACCCAAATCAAGAAAAGTGTTAGAAACTTTATAACTTTTGCTGAAGCAGAAGACATCCCCAGCTGTCTGTCATGTCTGTTTCCTCTATCAAAATATATGATATTTACTTTAAAGGAGAGGGAAATGCGTTATAAATAGAATATGTGCACTTCCAGTAATAGTAACTGGAAAGATTAGTGTTGACCCTCCCCCACTTCCTATGACAAACACAGGATGAAATATAACAATATAAAGCCGAGCTTAAAACAAAGGAAGGGAGGTTCTTAGGTCCTAGAATTAGAAGGGAACCCGAACCAGGATGGGAAAAGGACCAGCGAGCGAAAGCCCTGGGAGCTGGAAGACATCAGGGCCACTGTAGGCCTTGGTATCTGGGGGTAGGGGTGTTGTACCCATACAGGGATGAGAATTGTAGCCCCAGGCCTACACAAATAGGGAGCTGGAACTGAGAGTCGGGTATACGTTCTGGTTCATGACAATTGAAGGCTGAGAGACTCAAACTGAAGAGATGACTTGGGGTTAAAAGGGCATCAGAATTCGGTTCCCAATACCCCTGTCAGGTGGCTCACAACCAAGGGGTCAGCCCTCCTCCTCCTTCCACGGCCAGCTGCACCTGCATGCACATAGAAACACACGTGCTTAAAATTAACAATTAAAGTCTTTTGAAAAAGAAAGAGCAACTAACAGAGATACTTCCACAGAGTTGAATCTGAAGAAAAAAGAGAAGGCCTGTAGAAGACACTGGTAAACATGTGAGCAGAGCTGACTGTTCACGGAATGCTGTAAAGGCACAAGAATGACTAGTTGTGGCATATTTGTAGCATCAAGACAATAGACAATAACAGAAGATTAAAGAGCCCTTATTATAATGAAGAAAATACTCCAAGGTGCTAATGCGATTTAGGGATGGAAGAGAGATGTTGATTGTTTTTGCTCAGTTTTTTGTTGTTGTTGTTTGTTTTTTGAGACAAGTTTTCTCTGTGTAGCCCTGGCTGTCCTAGAACTCACTCACTCTGTAGACCAGGCTGACCTTGAACTCACAGAGATCCATCTGCCTCTGCCTCCCGAGTGCTGGGATGCTGGGATTAAAGGCATGCACCAACACTGCCTGACTCTTTATTTTTTGAGACAGGGTCTTACCATGTAGACTTGGCTGGCTTTGAACTCACAGATCTGCCTGCCTCTGCCTCCTAAGTGCTGGAGTTAAAGACATAAAGACATAAAGGCTGTCACACCCAGCCTTCTTTTCTTTTTTTAAGGCAAGTATAAATATTCAAAATGTAAAAGTAACCTCCAGAGCAATGGTAAAGTATTGAGTATCTTCTAAGGGAACATGTGATCAGTTCACAGGGGTAGGTATAATGAAAGTCTAATTTTGATGGCAAAGCAAGCTGAAATGTCCAGTCCCTTCTCCAGTCACTGTTGCTGCTAGGGATGGTACTGTGTGACCTAGTTCTACTCAACAAGGTATCAGGTTGTCATCTATAATAAGATGGGACAGATGTTCAAGGCCTCTCTTTTCTGTTCAAGAGGGCCAGGATCTGCTTTTGAGAAAGGGGAAGGGGAGTTCCCGAGTCATGTTTTCCTAGTTGGTTGATGCCAAGGCCATACTGTTATGAGAGAGGACCAGTTACACGGATGATTTCCCGGTCAGTGCTTTGTTTGTGGGGTTATAATAGAGTGATCTCCAGGAGCGGAAACAAACAAGGAGAGAGGGGGGAGCAGAGAGAGACTACTGGGAGAGGATGATAGCTGCCTGCCTTCTACGTGCTGGTAACAGGAGTGAACAATAACAGCACTGAACAGTAATAGAACAAGAGGAGCACCTTAGTGATGAGCATTTGCCTAGCATATGCAAGGCCCTGGGTTCTGTCCCCAGAATTACAAATAAATATTTATACACATTAGTCTCAGGGGCATAAACATAAAAGTTCTATACAATACATTTGCAAGTCAAACCTCTCAGGAAATAATAATAAACCATCAACCAGAATTATTCCTGAGATCCATTCTATTAACATTAAATAAATCTTCCTGTGTACTTCTCTGCAGTAAAGCTGAGAACAGCGTAAGGATTCTTGCCGCCACTGTGGGAAAGGTACTAGTTAGTGAGTGTGATAGAACTGGAAAGGAGGGCTGGGGATGAATCTCCATGGTAGTGTGCTTGCCTAGTGCTACGGTTCATTTTGTTAACTTGACGTGGTCAGGAATCCCCTGGGAAGGTAGTCTCAAATAAGGGGTTGTCTAAGTTGGGCTGGCCTGGGAGTGTGTCTGTGGGGAACTGTCTTGACTGTGTTGATTGATGTGGAAGACCCAGCTCACTCTGGGAAGTACCATTCCCTAGGCAGGGGACCCTGGACGTTAGAAGAGTGGAGATACAGAGCTGAGTGCAAGCTTGCATCGTTCATTCTCTCTGCTCTTGACTGTGGGCATGACTAGCTATTTCAAGTTCCTGCCAACTTGATGTCTCCCGTGATGATGGACTGTTACCTGGAGATGTGAGCTGAAATAACCCTTCTTCCCTCAAGCTGCTTTTGTCAGGGTATTTTATTACAGCAACAGAGAGGAAACTAGGGTACCTGGCAGGCACAACACACACACACACACACACACACACACACACACACACACACACACACACACAAATAGAAAGAAAAGAAACTAAATTATCAGTTGTAAACAAGCAACTAATGGGAATTAAAGACATTGCACATAGTTATTAAGATCAACATAAGAAATCAATAAGGTGACTGTGTGTAAATTCCTATGTAAGAATCAACAGCATCATCATACTTATCATATCATACTTTATACATGTAGGTCATAAATTGGCAGAATACCTGCAAGAACTTAATTTTGAAAAAAAAAATCCATTCACAATAGAAAAAGAAACTTAGAGGTACTTGGTTACAAATCACTTAGTTGTAAATCTGTAGGCTTTGCAAATTCAAACCAGGCATGGGTGGTATACACCAATGATCCCAGCACTTTTGGGTGACAGCAGGAGGATCAGAAATTCAAGGTCACCATCTGCTACATAGCTCGTGCTTGTAGAACAAGTCATCTCCCTAGCCCCAAATGCTTGGTTTTAAACAGAGCTGTCATGAGACATCACTGAGGATCTACTGCTCTGTGTAACAACCCTAGCTGTCCCGGAACTCACTCTGCAGGCCAGGGTGGCCTCAAACTCACATAGATCTGACTGCCTCTGCCTCCTGAGTGCTGGGATTAAACGTGTGCGCCACCACACCTAGACTGGATCTACTACTCAATATATGATGTTACACTGATTGGACTTTCAAGCAGCAACACAACCAAACCTCTAGTTCACAGCATACATGCAAAAATAAATTATA